CCATGCTCCATTTTCTTCATATTGTCGCTAGTCAATATACTCGTGGTCTATATACTTTACATTAAAAAATCTTTGTGTAGCTTGTCTTATAATAGATGTATGGGGATAAAGGTGTTTTGATATTTGAATTAACCTGTGTGTCTGTGAGCCATAATCTCAGAACAGCTGTCATTGTTGTTAAGTTGACACAGAAACTCTTACCTAAGGTGTAGAAGCATAACAAAGACATTGGACAAGTTGAGTGGTTCTGTTGTCATTGAATATACCAGTCATTGGTTAATTAAGAACTCTTTAAACCTGCTTCAGAATGACCTGCTCAAAACAATACCAACAGTCAGGAAGCTGTTTGCAAGATGTTGGTAAACTCACGAACTATTGTACAGGTCTATTTCTTCTAAAGATGTCAAAATGTGAGTTGGGGTGTGGTATAGATACTGACCTACATGAACTACACAGCAGTAACATGGGCTTGGGCAATGTAGACTTTGTCGTGCTTTTAATTATCAGAAGGAATAAAGCATATCTGCTTGGTTATTTCAGTATTCTGTACTTTTATTCCTATTAAAAATAAATAGTAGAGAGGAAGATCTAGTTCAGTAGATGAATGATCAGTATGAAGTTAGTTAACATGGTTTCATGACTTAGTTTTAGAGCTGTAACTGTGGTCACTAGAGAGGTGGGACTATAATGGCTCGTGGCAGTGCATGGTACACCTGGCACACGTGCATCTGCTCATTGTTTGAGTTTAAAGCTGGTGCAGCACCTTATTGCTGCTGCTATAATGAAATGCTAGGGAAATGCCTTGTTAAAGTTTAGCTTAACATTACTAAAAACAAAACAGTAATTACAAGGCATCACAAATGAAAGAGAAAACAAGAGGCTTATAACCATTTTGTAACACAGTTTGCCCTTGACCACTGTGACCTGTTATTCACCTAGGCTTTGATGAGTAAAATAATCACTGTGTTTCTGACCTTTGCCACCAGAATGAGAAGGAACAAGTAAAAAGGAAAGGGAGGGGAGAGGGGAAATAAATAAAGAGAAAAACAAAGAAGGGGAGTGCCCAGACGAGGTTTATCTATATTCTGTCTCCATGTTTATCTATGTTTGTAATGACAAAATTACACACGTGAGTAAACAAGTACAAAGGAAAAAGAGACATCACAAATGGGGAAGATATTTCATGTCACCACTCAATCATAGTCTTTGTTGTTAACTGGAAAAATTCAGTCAGCTTGATCCACCAGCATATTATTCCTATTGGAAAAAGTTAATAGAAACAAGTAGTACTTGTTTTCACCTGAACAATTTGAAATTGTGTGAGAGGGCAAGGAGTATGAGAAATGGGTGCGCACATGCAGTATGTGCCTGTGTGGGAGTAAACAGTTGCTACTTGTATTCCCACCACCTGCCCAAGGCAGCAACTGAGATGCACACATAGCTGAGATGGATGAAGGGACCACATCAGCCAGGGTAGGAAAACCCATCAGGGAAATATGTCTATCACATACTCTCTCTGTGGTATGCAGCTTCAGTCAGAGTGAGACGGTACAGGCAATTAGTTTGTTATTCATATATAGGCTGAGCATCAGGCAGAAGATTTGGCTCTGGACAGAGTTTGGAAGAGCATTGAGCTGATATGATACGTGGCTGCCAGCTCCATGTGTACGTCATGCTGGCACAGAAGCCTGACTTTGGCACCAAGAGTTAGCATCTCTTTCCAGTGGTTCCAGGCACAACTTCCTGGTTTCCAGTAAGGTCCTAATTACACAGTGTTTGAGCTAAGCTCCTCCACATGGTCAGAGGCAAGAGAGAGGGAGTCACAGCTACTATTCAAAGGGCTGAAGGTTGTCAGCTTCTTTGGCTGAATAACAGAGAGCACAGAATCATAGACTTTTAGGGGTTAGAATGGACCTTATAGATCATCTAGTCCCAAGCCCCCCTGCCATGGGCAGGCACACCTCCACACTAGACCATGTTGCTCAAGGCCTCATCCAACGTGGCTTTGAACACTGTCAGGGTTGGGGCATCCATGGCCACCCTGAGCAACCTGTGCTGGTGTCTCACCACCCTCACAGGAAAAGTCTTTTTCCTAATATCTAACCTAAATTTCCCCTACTTCAATCTGAGTTCATTACTCCTTGTCCTCTCACTGCAGTTCCTAATAAAGACCCCCTCTCTGGCTCCCTTTTAGGCCCCTTCAGATACTGGAAGGTTGTTATGAGGTTTGCATGCAATCTTCTCTTCCCCGAGCTGGATAACCCCAACTTCTTCAGCCTGTCTTCAGAGGGGAGATGTTCCACCCCTCATCAACTTTGTGGGTTCCTCTGGACTTGCTCCAACAGTTCCATGTCCTTATTTTGAAGGCACCAGAACTGCACGCAGTACTCCAGGTGGGGTCTCACAACAGCAGAGTAGACGGGGACAACCATCTTCTTCAACCTGCTGGCCACACGCCTTTTGATGCAGCCCAGGATTCGATTGGCCTTCTGGGTTGCTAGCGTACACTACAGCTCATGGTGAGATTGTCATCTACCATCAGGCCCAAGTCTTTCTCCATGTTGCTGGTCTCAATTACTTCCCCACCCAACCTGTAGCTGTGCCTGGGATTGCCATTGCCCAGATGTAGGACCTTGCACTTCATTTTGTTGAACTCCATGAGGTTTGCATTGGCCACCTCTCAAGCCTGTCAAGGTCCCTCTGGATGGCACATCCCTTCCCTGCATCATGTCAATTGCCCCACGCAGCTTGGTGTCATCAGCAAACTTGCTGAGGGTGCACTTTATCCCACTGTCCATGTCACTGACAAAAGTGGTGAACAGTGTTCGCCCCTGCACTGACCCCTGAGGGACACGACTCGTCACTGGCATCTGCGTGGACAATGAGCCACTGACCACAACTCTCTGTGTGTGACTGTCCAGCCAATTCTTTATCCACTGAGTGGTCCACCCATCAAATCCATATCTCTCCAATTTAGAGACAAGGATGTCATGCAGGATGGTATCAAAAACTTTGCATAAGTCTAGGTAGATGATATCAGTTGCTCTGCCTCTACCCACCAATGCTGTAGCCCTGTCATAGGAGGACACCAAATTTGTCAGGCATGACTTGTCCCTGGTAAAGCCATCTTCATTATTACTAATCACCTCTTTACTTTTCATGTGCCTAAGCACAGCTTCCAGGAGAATCTGCTCCATGATCTAGCCAGGCACAGAGGTGAAACTGGTTGGTCTATAGTTTACCAGTTTTTCTGCTTTCTCCTTTCTAAAAATGGGGGTTATATTTCCTCTTTTCCAGTCATCAGGGACTTCACCTGACTGCCACAATTTATCAGAATTTATAGACAGTAGCTTAGCAACTATGTCCACCTGTTCCTTCAGGACCCAAGGATGAATCTCAACAGGTCCCACAGGCTTATGCACATTCATGTTACCTAGCTGGTCATGATCCTCACGAACCCTGTTTCATCAATATTTGCTTTGTTTCTTCCTTTTTTTTGGTTGGCTCTAATTTTTATCAGGTTGGTTTAATGTTTAACAGAGGTAATGAAGCAGAAGATGATGTAGCAGCATAAGTAACAGTGTGGGGAACAGCATGGTCAGCTGAATGCAGTGAGGCTTCTGATTTTGTAAGTACTACACATGCATTTTCTAAGAGAGCTGCCAATGATGCTTTCTTCAGGTGGTGAAATTTTAATATTAGGTCAATTTCATTTGTCTGCTTGTGATTTGGTTCTGTGTGGATGCTGCAATGAAATATCAATCAAGCAGATATGCAAGGGACCAGTGGGACCTGCTGTTCTGGGGGAATATGCTTAGCCTGAAATCAATCTAAAATAACCTTTGAAGTCATGGTGACTTATTACGTAGCTGTTAAAACAGAATACTGATGAAATCACCTTTAAGGTTGGAAACATCCTTCACAGTGGCTCAAAATTAGTAGAACCCCACTAGTAACTGAACAACAAAGTCCAATTTATAAACTTTTCTGGTGACTTAATTTATAAAACAAGCATTGAATTGTTAAGGCCAGGTTCACTAATTAGGACTGGGGTGAGTGTAGGGGGTGGCTGGAGGACCACAGTTTAAATTTAATTGCCCCTTTTATTCCCATAGACAAACTAATCTGTGGTCTGGAAGAGAATAATTTTCTGGGTTTCCAATTTGCATTAAAAAAGCTTCCGGTTTCTTCAGCTTTGCAATGTAACAAAAATATTTGTGGCTGAAATTTTCTAATTTCAAAATGTTGAAATTAATGTGATTTTCATCTTTAAAGGGAAAAGTATGTGAGGAAAACTTGATGACAATATTCAGTGTTTTCCAGCTTCTGGCAGAAGTACTTTGAGATTTCTGTAGGAAGCTGTGATACTAAGTTTTATAACTGATATTTAATAGTAGAAGTTAAAAACAGAGCCATGCCTAATATAACCTCACTGCAAAAGAAAGTCCCATACTCTTTGGTTCATAAATTCCTTCAAATTTAGGCTAAACTAAGTCTGAACACAAGAAGTGATCATGGGCAGGAAAAAATGATCTTCTTTCTCACTTAAGTGTGCAATATCTCAAATAACTAGAGAAAAACAGTCTATGACATTAAATATATAACATTTGAAACATCCTCAGTGCTACATTATTACTTCATTTTTCCACAGTACGTGAGGGTTGTTCAGTTTGGGGGGTTATTTTTCTGTGAGGAAGAGGGAGAGTTCTGCTTTAAAGAGATGCAAATATTTGAATCATATTCTTGTCTAGGGCCATATTCCATCTTTTGGTTTAAGAAAATTTGTATTTATTGCTACCACTTGTTACTGCAATTTATTAATTAAACTTGACATTATGCCCATGAGAACTTGAAATATCCTACTTACATTAGATATCTACAATTGCACTATGTAATATTTATGCTAACAAAGTATTCATTATTTCTTACTACCAAGCTCATCATTACCATCTGCTCATCTAATGACTGTTTATTTTGTGACAGAATAATTTGAAAAGAAGATGAAGTGTCTCCTGTGCCTGTGTTTATTTCTTGCTGTTCTTTGTGCTGTAACCCACTGCCACCATGAAGACATTTGCCATGAAGTCAATACTAAGCTGCATGATGGAACAGAAAGTTTATTAACATATAACTGTGACGAGGAGGCACACTCTAACTATGCAGATTTTGTATTTAGATTTTACAGGGAGGCTATATCACAAGAAGCTGATAGAAATGTTTTCTTTTCTCCCATAAGCATCTCCACTGCCTTCGCCATGCTGGCTGTTGGTGCTAAGTCAACCACCCTGGCTCAGATTTTTGAAGGACTGGGCTTTGACAATTTGACTGAGACTCGCATACATAATATGCATGACAGTTTTCACAAAGTTTTATCAGTACTGAACTGTGCTGATGCTAACATCACATTAAACATAGGGAATGCCCTTTTTACAGCTATTGGGTTTGAACCACAGGAGTCATATTTACAAAATACCAAACAATTTTATGATGTAAATGTTTTTTCTACCGATTTCCATGAACCAGAAGAAGCTCAGAAGCAAATCAATAAATATGTAGCGGAGAAAACCAAGGGGAAAATTCCTGAATTAGTTGGTGGTCTTGATCCGAGTACAGTATTGGTTCTTGTTAACTACATTTATTTCAAAGGTAAGACATTTAACATAATATTCCAATAGGTAGCTTTGATGCAAGATAAAAATTGCGGGGAACTCCTGATAATTTATTTCCAGAGTGACTATTTAGGAAAGATCTAAACTGTGCAGGACCTTCAAAGTAAATATTAGATCTGGCCAAGAGCAGGGTGACTGATTGTTGAGAAATACTGATTGCTTAATTTTGAACCAGTTTGCCTGAAAGCTGTGGACAGAGAAGTCCCACTATAGCAGACAACTCATAGACAGGGATGCCTAGCACAAAGCCTCACTGGTCTGAGGGCATAATGACTAAAGATGCTTCCAAGATCTCTATGCTGACTGTATGTGCCAGTTAAAGTTGGTGGGCTGACATCTTTTCACAGGGGCCTCAGTTTTATGGTAGGTCTACTAAGTATGCTGCATGAAGACTTGGGACATAGCATTTTGAGGGCCTGTGCTTCTGGAGCCTTGCTCAAATGTTAGGACCCTTTAATCTACTGATGTGTTCCTCACCAGGCTGAGTGCAGTCAACTTGCATGGGATACAGCCTAGCATGAAAGGCATAAGAAGAAATGTTTAAGTGGTTGTATTTAAATGGCATAAAAGGCATTACATATGGCTGCGGTAGAAGCAGGACTCTCTCAATCAATCCTCATCAACCTTTGGTTGTTTGTCAGCGAGACAGGACTTACTCACACCAACTATGATGAGCTTACTGCACAGCTAAGATGCTTTATTGTGTGCCATGCAGGAGGTTGAAGTGATTTAGTGATCCTCTTCTCCCATAAATAGCCCTCCAGTGTCCTACATTTAAATTGGTCTAGTTTAGATGATCCATTTTTTATGATCTTCACATTCTCTCTTTTTCCCCATTAGCTGCCTGGGAAAACTCATTTGATCCTTTGCTGACATATGAGGATGATTTTTTTGTGGATACAAATACAACTGTTAGAGTCAACATGATGCAACGAGACAGTATCTTTGACAGTTACTATGACCAGGATCTCTCTTGTGAGGTGGTAGAGCTGCCTTACGAGGGCACTACACGAGCATTGCTCATTCTGCCTGATGATGGAAAGATGAAGCAAGTGGAAGATGCTCTCTCCAAGGAAACTCTTTGTAAATGGGATAGCAAATTTGTGACCAGGTAACTCTAGGTAGATGGCTTACTGTATTTGAGGACACATCATGTTTTTAAGAGAAAGTGTTAATTTCAGATCACTTCCTATTGGATATAATGTCCTGATTTCAAAAAGTGAGGTTTTAAGCAACTCCCAAAATGAGTCAAAGCAGAGCATAATCCTTAAGAAACTGAAGGCTCTCTGACCTGACAGAAGGGGTCACAGATGCCTCAAGACTTGCCTGGCTACATTTTGACTCTCATACCTCTTCTTTAATGGTGTTAACATGATTAATTTGCTTCACCATGTCATAGATTTTATCCTCCTTTTCCCTTATTTTAGGCTTTCCACAATTGGTCTGCTTACTCTTTATAGCCCTCTAACCACAAATCTGCTAGCTGTGTATGTAGCACTGGGGTGAATGAGTGGCAATGAAGACATTTGTTGTTTTTCCAAAAATCAAACTGAAAATGTAGGTACAAGAAGGTGGTGCATCTCTCTGGATGACAAAATTGCTCAAGGAATACAAATGCTGCCATCAAACAAGCTTGCAATCCAAAGAATGCTTTCAAGTGTTGCTGAATTGCACACTATCCAACCTGCTGGCTGAAACAAGGCTGCAATGCCTCACTGCTCTTTTGTTTTCTTTGATCAACAGGAGTTTAAATCTGAAATTACCCAAGTTTTCTATTAGTGGGTCTTACAGCGTTAAAAACCTGTTCAAGGAAATGGGCATTACTGAAGTGTTCTCAGGTAATGCTGATCTGTCTGGAATTAGTGGCAGCCACAATCTTCACGTTTCAGAAGTAAGTGAACAGAGGTGGTGATGGGGTGGTGGTTGGTTGTTTTGAACAGTTGTGTCTGGGATTTTTAAAGGCTTTCTTTCCCTCCTTGTATTACTCAGATTATGGGTAAAACTCACAGTGACATGTAGGGGCTTGCTTAGTCATTGTGCTTTTCCATGGAAAGAATCTACTGGGTCACATTTGTATTACTTTAATATTGCTATTAAAAGGCTGAATATTAAGTACATGGAAAAGTTGGACAACATTTTAAATTATTTTTTGCACTAGAAATAATAGCTTACATGAGATTGTGCCAAATAAACTATAAAAGAGGAACATATTACATTTGTGTTGATTATTACCCAACTTCTTAATATTCTCAAAGTTTCCAGGAGACTTCCAGTTTGCAGTAGCAGAATTCCGCCATGTCAGTTTAAGCTATGATTTAATGTTAACAATGTCAAATACTACCCCTGAATTAGGATTTAAACAGCAGTCTTCCATTAACCTTGGAGTAAGAGAAAGTGTTGCTAGTAGAAGTCTGAACCATCTAAGAAAATAAACCAACTTGTGCATGGACTATTGTCTCCCTCTACGCAGCACTGGTGAGAATGCATTTACAGTGTGTCCATGGTTATTTTTGGCACTACTTGCTCAGTCCTGACATAGAAAGCACTCCTGTTTCAGGCTGCTGGAGATCTACCATACAAGAAAATTTCATCTGTTGAAGTTATCACTCCTTCTTCTAAATGTTCCATAAGAAGAGAAATCATTTTACCTCCTGTTTCCTGTCCCGTATATAAACCATAGTGTTTTCTCCTTTTCCCTGTAGGCAATTCACAAGGCCCTGTTGGAAGTTGATGAGACTGGAACTGAAGCTGCAGGAGCCACAGCTGTAATCTTTACCAGAGTCTTCTATCCTTCTGTTACCATTACATTCAACAGGCCCTTCATTATTTTGATTTCTGACAAACGAACCAGCAGCACACTTTTCATGGGGAAAATTGTTGATCCTACGAAGAAGTAATTGCTGAGTTATTTGGCATACTGCTATTGGGCACAAGTGATAATGGCTACAGTGTTCACACGTGGGCTAGTTATTCTCTGATTGAGGGATATTCAGAAGTAAATGAGAAATTTCCTTAACAAATTAATAAAAAAAATTATAAAAACTCCCATCAACTGGCAGTTTTTAAATATTACATTTTTCTCACTTGAGTATTTGTATTTGGTTTGCATGGCCAGGTTTTGGAAGTGGGGGCTATAGGGGTGGCTTCTCTGAGAAGCTGACAGAAGCTTCTCCTATGTCCAACAGAACCAATACCAGCTAGCTCCAAAACGGACCAGCTTATGGCCAAGTCCTTCTTATTTTAAAAAGTGAATTTTCTCTGCTAAGGAGTTTTGTCCAGACTGCTTTCAGTTCTGGACTACTCACCAAAACTTTATCCCAACAGGTAACAAGCCTTGTAATTCTACTATGCCCTCTCCAGGACTTGATGATGACCAGTATTCACCTGAGCTGGTGCCTACGGAGTCCTTTCTTCCTTACATCACTTTTTGCTCTCTAGGCTGTTGTTTATCCTCAACCAACCTGTTCTTTCTCACATGTTCCAACTCTTTGCCTAGGGCACCTTAAGAAGTCATTGAGAAAAAAAGAGAAAAATCCCTGAAACAATGAACTTATTCTCCTGTAGCTCTCACTCTTCGCAGTCCACAAGGTCAGCAAAAACTTTGAGAGACAGTGACATTAGGCATAGCATAAACTGTCAAAGAAATGTCCTGTGATGTCTGTAAAAGTGCAATTCTTTGCATTCTCTCTTTATGTGCCTATTTGGGTAAAACCTGTTTTCAAGAAACATATAAACATTTTCTTGCTCTTTTGGGTCTGCAGATTACCTGGCCTTACTGCAGTGGAGCACTGAGGTTGAATTCTGTAGCAAAGCATTTATCCTGCAGTTGCTGCCTCAAGGAGAAGCTCACTCCTGCTTTGGCAGCTGCTCTGTTACTGCATTGCTTTGAGTCATGTCATTGCATATTGATCGTGGATGCATTTTTTACAAGTGTAGTTGAATCCTGGTCTCTGGGAAGATGATGCTTCTGAATGTATGTTGCTCATTTCTGCAGTTCTCCTAGCAATGTGCTGTGAGCACTGCAAAGATGATGCAAGTACCAAACCAATAAAACGAGCTCCCACCCCTGACATCTCTCTGACCTTCTGACCTGTTCTCCCAAACCTGGTCCATGGTACACAGAGGTGACTTACTGAGGCCCATCAGTGCTTCTGCATGTCTTTGGTGTATTGGGAACTATGTGTCTGACTTGGGGGACTCGGAGTTTGCTGCCTTGTACAAGTCCCTTTGCTCCAAGAAGCAAGGACTTGGTGGAAGCCCTGAGCTGTTGCTGCTCCTGGGGCAAGATGCCATCACTCAGTGGTTTGGGAGAGACCACACCTCTGCAAAGCAGCGGCTTTTGCAGAGTTGCCATCAATGATAACTTGATGTGATGTGCTCTGTGGTGGCTATACAAACTCAAAAAGAGCTGGGATCAGCTCCTGTGAGATCCCATCCTGATAAATCTGTGCACCAGTACTGATTAGAAGGTAGGATGGTGAGATTTTTATCAGAGCAGTGTGATTTTTATCAGAGTGTGATGACAGAAAAACAGGTTCTTGGTCTGTTGCTAAAGGGGAAGAGGTTAGATAAAAATTCTCAGGGTTGCTAGGACAGAGTAAAGGCTTTGGGAAATAACACATGGAGCAACTTCCTGCCCCATCTACATCCTGGGGCTTTTCTTTTGAGAGTAGAGGCAAGGAACAGCAGAATGGCACATGCTTTGGGAGTTTACACACTGAACTGTGAAGATTGACTGATCCTGGCAAAAGTATCAAGCAGGACAGACTCTGAATCCTGGTTTGGGAGTTATCTACCAAGATGTGGGGCATCACCACAGCTGTCCTCCAGTTGAGTAACTTTATGCTGCATACCAGCAGGCTAGCCTGAGTTACGGCAGGGACCTGGGGTGAGAAAAAGGGTCATCCCAAATATCTCTGGAAGTGGAGGACAGGAAACTAGTTAGTCTTTTGCCATACATACAGACAGCAGAAAAACGCCTATAGTTCACAGTATGGAAATCTATAGAGCCTGGATACTGAACACACCTGGCTGCTGTTACTCTCAGGATAGTTCTGATGATACTCTTTAGGAACTGGATGATTCTGTCAAGTTTTTATTGGGACACAGGGTATTTTGTCCTAATTCCAAGAAAATCTAACCGTCTTGGTCTGCCTTGCATCATTTGTTCTTGTTGCTTTTGTCTGCCTTAATATGTTATAGGGAATGTTTCTCTTCATGTTATTCCTACCCTCAGGCAGATCAATACTTCCACCCAACTTAGTGCATTCTGCAAATTTACTGAGGGTGCACTCAATCCCCACATCCAGATCATCAATAAAGATGTTAAACAGGGCTGGCCCCAGTACTGAGCCCTGGGGAACACCACTAGTGACTGCTGCCAACTGGGTTTAGCTCCATTAACCACAACTCTCTGGGCCCAGCCATCCAGCTGATCAAAGAGTCCACCCATCCAAGCCATGAGCAGCCAGTTTTTTTAGAAGTATGCTGTGGGAGACAGTGTCCAATGCCTTACTGTCCAGACAGACCACATCCACAGCCTTTCCTTCATTCACTAAGCAGGTCACTTTGTCATAGAAGAACATCAGGTTGATCAAGCGGGACCTTCCTTTTATAAATCCATGTTGGTTGGACTTGATCCCCAGGTTGTCCTGCATGTGCTGTGTGATGGCACTCAGGATGATCTCTTCCATCATCTTGACTGGAACCAAGGTTAGCCTTATATTATAGGCCTGTAGTTCCCTGGATCCTCCTTCCGACCATTCTCATAGATGGGTGTCATGTTTGCTAATTTCCAGTCAGCTGGAACTTCTCCAGTTATCCAGAACTGGTAGTAGATGCTTGCAAGTGGTTTACTGAGATCTTTTGTCAGTTCCCTCATTATCCTGGGGTGGATGTCATCAGGGTCTATGGACTTGTGAGCTTCCAATTGGCATAGCAGGTCATTAGCTATCTCCGCCTAGATTCTGAGGGCTTCACTCATCTCCCCATCACCAGCTTCCAGCTCTAGGAGCTGGGTATCCTGAGAACAGCCAGTCTTTACATTAAAGACAGAGGCAAAGAAGGCATTGAGTACCTCTGCCTTTTCCTCATCCCTGTCACTATACTACTTTCTGTATTTAGCAACTGAAGGACACATAATACACGTTACGGTGAAGTATGTAACCCCCCATCACAAACATCTAAGAAAAATGACCTGCTGTGGATCTGTTAGCCCTGACCTGACATACTTAAGGGAAGGTCTGAGGAAAAAGACTTACCTAAAGAGAGCTCATATCAGGTGAGAACTCCTGTGAGGGAAGATTGACCCACTGGGCTGGGTCCCTGAAAGGCAGCCTAGTTGCACCCCAGCAGACCTGAGTGCCAGACTTTTCCTGGCAGCCTATGAGCCATGGGGGAGACAGTAAGTTTGTTCTGTCTGACCTTGTTTATGGTCCACTGGGACTCTGCTTGGTGACAGGAGAGCTTCTGTCAGTAATGCTGTGTTTGCTTTGCCCCATGGCAGATTCCATGTAGAATGTTGTCACAAAACATGAAGCAGTGGGGTTGTAGGGCTAATGCAGTATGAGTTTAATGCATTTTACCTTTCATCAGTAAGGAAAGGAGATAACTCAATGCCAAAAGGCACAAAGCATTCAGATAGTCACAGAAACACCAGTTGCTCACACTAGCCTTGCTATTCCGATGCTACCAGAAGCTTGGACTTTCCTTTCTTATTCCCAGTGATGCAATTTGCGTCTCAGCCCTGGTATCTGGAGAACTTGCCTTCGAATGAGCATACCAGACCTCTCCACACAGCTATGGCTTCTGTTCAGCCCTTGACTGCTGCTACTATTTCAAGAAAATGGGATTTCACCCAGATGTAAATCAACCCTCTCCTAATTGTTTCAGTAGATTCAGTACAACAAAAGCTGCAGGGTTTTTCCTTGTACTCACACTCATTTCAAGCAGAGAATCACTCAGCTCTTAAAACCCAGATGACTGTGATAGTTCCCAGGCAGGGTGGATTTTGAATGTGGATTCTGAGAACCAGGAGTATCTGTAAGGCAGATATAAGGCAGTCTGAGTGCTTCACGACCCAGCTGCTCATCTTTGACATGAGTCTTGGTAGCTTTTGGAGGTGTAAAAAAACCTCATAGCAGTGTTAATCCCTAATCCAGCAATCAAATCATGCCTCCAATGCATAGAGGCACTAGGATTTCCAAGTAGAGAAAATGTGCAAGAGAAACACTCTAAATGGCAAGTGTTTCACTGAAAGCTCTAAATATTCACTGCAGTGGAAGTTGGAATGAATGCAAATTATCAGGAAAGAAAGGAGCATGAAGACCACCAGGGGCTATGTATATCTGAGTTCTGTGACACGGCCTCTGGATCTCACCCATCCATACAACATTCCTTGCTGGGTACTGCAGGTCTGTCCTTATCCACACAGGGCTGCTTTCATTAGATTTAAACTGAGCACATGTATGGTATCATTCATTCCCTGTAAACCACTCCCTGTTAGCCAGCAAAGACTGATCTAGAAATACCTTCCATTAAGTTCCCAGTCCCAGGTACAACATTGAATCCATTTTTTCATAATTTGGTAATTGTGCTTTCAGACTAACAGACTTTTAAGAAAATCATAATTCATCCATTTCATGTAGATGTCCTTGATTCTGATTAATATGCTGGTTACACAAACTCAGCTCAATGTTGATGTTGCTGCAAATGACTTTACTGGCTTCTTGCAAAAGAGAATTTCAAAGAAGAAAGTACCTTTTCAGTTCAATCCTACCCCTGGAGATGAATTTATTACAAGTAAATTAACCTTATTTATACAAATGAGTCTTTATTTATCTTTTTTTAAAAATTGCATTCAGTTTCTTTTCCATAACCCATCTGGAAACAAAATTCA